GAACCCCGCGGGGACGGAACCCGCCCGGCCCCGCGGCAGCGCCGCCGCCCGCCGCGCCGCGCCCGGGCGTGTTGAAGCGCGGCGGCCCCAGGGGCACGGGAAGGATACGGCCCCCCCGCTCGGCGCCGCGGCCGAGCCCGCCAGGAGTGCGGGGCGGTTTCCCCATTCCGGAGCGGCAGAGGCGGGAAGCATGGGCGGGAAACCCCCGCGCCCCGATGCCCGTGCTCGGTCCCCGCCCTGCGCCCTCCGGTCCCAGCGGCGAACTTGCTCACGACCAGAAAACGGGGGAAAAAAAAAACCAAAACAACACGAACCCCAAAGAAGCTGGATAGTCCCGGAGTTGGTGGCGCAGCCCCCACCGGCCCCCTTACCTTGCATAAAACTTCGCTCAAGTCGAAGATGGTGGGCGACACCAGGGCTGTGGACATCTTCGGCAAGCGAGGGGGGAAGCGAGTGGGACAGCGGCACTCGGACACGAGGAGTCACGGCGTAGGTAAGGCACAGCCTCCAGCGCCCCGGCTCGCAGCCTCCCCCCGCTGCTACTGATGCCGCCACCAGCCCACCCAGCCGCCGCGCTCGCTTCTCGCTTCCAGCGGGTCGAGGAAGGCTCAACTTATAAAGTTTCGGACTTACCCCAGGAGGAGGAGCCGGCGGTGGGAGGAAGGGGAGGAGGTGGAGGAGGACAGGGTGATTGACACCGCGACTGAATCACCCGGACGGGCAGGCCCAGAAAAACTTTCGGGAGGAAGGAGGGAGGAGGGACGGGGGGGGGTGAAGAACGCAAAGCGGCTGCGGGGGGGTGGCTGTGCCGGCCGGGCCGCGCCCCGCCCCGCGCTGCTCCGGAGGGGGCGGTTGTGTGGCCGCACCGACTGACTCCGCGCGCCTGTGCGCGCGCGCGTCCGCGTGCCTGTGCGGTGACCGCGAGTGTGCGCGCGTATTTGCGCGCGCCCCCGTCCGCGCGTCTCCACGTTGTGCGCGTGCGTATCCGCGTGCGCGCGCGTGTGTAGCGCGGGGCGCGGCTGGGGGTGGGCGCGCTCCCTTCCGCCCTCCGCGCGGTGGGGGTAGCGCGCGCGGCTGTTCCGTCCCGTCCCGTCCCGTCCCGTCCCGTCCCGCGCCCAACGGCCGGGCCGGGCCCCGCTTCGGCGGCTCCGCGCTCGCCGGACGTTTTTTCCCGCGAAAATCCAATGGGGTTCTGTCTGCTTGGATTTAAACTGTTCGGATCTGTGTTCGGTGCGGCCGCTTGCCCGGATTTTGTGCGCGCTGCCGGGCTTTGTGTTGACCGCCCCCGCTCCCCGCCCCCCATAGCCTTACTTCTTTTTTCCAGTTTTTAATGAAACCTGGCAAGTTCTACAAGGGGAAATAGCTTACATCCACATTAATTTAAATTGTGAAAATACGCCCTTTAATAGGGTGTGTGATAAATCTTGCCTTTTCTCCCCGAAGAGTCCTCTTCCAGTCCCCAGAAATCAACACTGTAAAACTGAAAAAGAAAAGAAAGGCTCTAAGCAAGTAATCTGTTCCAGGTTTTAGTAGACAAAGTATGATTCAATGATTCATTCTGATCTCGATACGAGGGGAGGGAGGGGGAAGATGGTGGCAGTTTGTGTAAAAATAAAAATGAGCTGAACTGCTCAAGGCTTATCAGTACCAGAGTGCCTCAGCTCCCAGTCTCTGCCCGTTTATCCCCTTTAGTCCCAGCTGAGGCGACGCTCTTCCCAACTATAACTTCAGTGGGTGTTTCCCCTAAGGCCGAGCAATGGCATCTGGGCCCTCTGCCCCACGCAGGCGGGAGAGGGGGGCCCAGCCTGGCGCTGCAGGCTCTTCCTCCAGCCCTGCGATTCGGCTTGGCTGGGAGAACAGAAACCCCTGAGTTCGGCTGCAGAGCGCTGACCCGAGCAGCCATTGCACTGAAAACTTCAAACGAATGATCCACTTCCTCCTCTGTTTGCTTTGGAGTCGCGGGATCTGGACTTTGCACTGGCAGCTGATCTTTTTCCCCTCCTTTGGTCTTCAAGAACGGCCAAAATAACCAACTGAAACCCCCACAGGCTCAGGCTATTCCAGATTTCTATTATTATTATTATTTACTTAGGGAGAGCAATCGGGTTCCTCGAATTTCCTTCTCTTTATAGTTTCTTTTTTTCCCCTTGCCTTGGCCAGAAGTGAGGAGTAGGGGAGTGAACAGCCTATTATTTTCTGCAGTTGTTTACTCGTTCTGTAGATGGTGCTTGTTCCCAGGGCTCTGAGCTTCTCTATAATTAAACCCATTTTAATTGTTAGGTTAGAAACGTCATTTCGGGGACTTTCCAAGAGTTACCGAGAAAGCCAGCCGAGACAACTATTTCACTACCGAGTCGCTCCCAGCCTGTTTTTTGCCTGGTTCCTCCCTGTCGGCCCACCAGGGTGCAAGACTGAACTAAGTGGAAGAGAACCAAGAGCCCAGGGCTGGCAGCTCCTCTACCAGCACAGCTGTCCACCCCTGCTGCTTTTGTGTTATTCACTTGTACCTTATGCATTTGTTTTGGAAACTTGGGGTTTAAGGTTGCACATTTCCACGGATCAAGCAGCAAAAGCTGAAGCTGAGAAGGAATTTTTTTCCAGTGATTTAGCTTGGCAAATCCTGACTGCACGGTGGTCTGCCTTGCATTGCCTGCGCACATGCTCGTTGAGAAATTTAGCTGCTCACCCCACCTCGTGGCTAAAAGTCAGAGCCCTCCGGGCCAGAGTGGGAATTTGTGTGGGCATGAATTCACACCAAGCAGAGGAATGAAAAAATCAGAGCCTTGCACCACCCGCCAGAGCCGTGCCAGAACTTTTGGTAAATGCAAATGAATTAAGATAGGTAAATGAATAAATGAAAGTCAATTATTAAAGAAGATTACTGAAAAAGTGAATGAATGCAATGCCATGCTCACTAGCCTTCTCATGTGGGTCAATCTGTCTGGGCCCAGCACATTCCAGTTGGGATACTATAGCTGGGCATGGGAAGTGGGAATAAATGTCCAGGACCTCCCAAGCCATTCCCAAACTTGTCCTCAGCACTGGAGCAGCTTCTGGAGCATTCACTTTCCCTGGTTCCAATGCAAGCAGATGCTAAACTTGTCTCAAAATACAGAGGGATAAGATTCTGCATCAGACCTGTATACACATTTAACAGTGGAATTAAGAACCACTTTCCTGAATGAGAGCTGAAATAGGCCAGAGTAGCTAGAAAATGGGGAAGAAATAGGGGGCAGTGAATTAGATGATAAAGGCAGGAGTTTTAAAGGATTATTTTTTCCAGTCGCGTGTGTGTATAAAACTTTGGGCTCGTTGGCACATGATGCTGTGGAGGTCAAAAGTATAAACTGGGTCAAAAAAGCAATTTGACAAATTTATGGAGGAAAAGTCCCCGGAGGTTTACTAAAGGCAAAGGGAAACCTCTGCAACATGTTGCTGGACAATGCACAGCAGAAGTATCTCTCTCTCATTCCCCTGTTTTCCCCCGTTAGCATTGGCTGCTCTTGGAGGAAAACCACAACAGACCTTTGACCTGATCCAGTTTGATTATTTTTACATAGTTAGGGTCTACTTTTCAGCTCTGTCTAACCCTAATGGGCTTGGACGTGCGTGTGCCTCACAAATTTGGGATTAGCTGTGCAATGTCAGATTGTTTGGGACAGCCAGGAGAAAAACACTGGGAAGTACAAATCAGCACTGTCTCGTCCTTGAGCCGCTGGGCACTGTTTCACATGCTGGCTTCTGCTAAAGGTTGGAGAACAGTCTCGTGGGGTGGCTGCACTGTTTGCCCAGTTTCGCTCCCCATCAGGGTACTAAGAGGTTACTTTGAGCATCAAGTATAACCTGAATCCAAGTGCCAGCTTTGTCACAAATATATTTGATGATGGTACAGCTCCCATAGCAACAGAAGAAGGTTGCTATCTTAAGGCACCTGCACTTCATCTGGAACTGTTTGGCATAGAAAGTCTGCAGGTCTGCTTGCGTCAGAGTTACTGAGCAAGAACATGAGTACAAAAAGTCTGAATTGCTGAAAACAAGGCGGGGGTGGGGTGGTTTGGTTTGTTCCCCCTCCTACCGCTTAGTTCCCAAAGTTTCAAGGTAGGAAAGGAAGTGCTTTCGTCATGAGCAAGGTTTTCCCCTGTGAGTTTCACATGATCTGGGCACTTCACTCCCTTGCTCACATGGGAATCTTCAGGTAGATAGACATGTCCTTTTTCTTTTGGTGCTGTGGTGTACAGAGGCTGAGGACAGAGCAAGGACAAACCTCCTGCTTTTAATTTTGCTGAGGGTGTAAAATGAGTCGAGGCTTTCTGCAGTCAGTATTCTATTCATATCTTTTGTGTCCGATGCTATTTTTGTTGGCTGTGCCCCTGGAGGTGGAGGTGTGGAAGTGCGTTTCTGCTGGTCTTTGCAAGCGGTGTAGATGTTTCCTCTGTTCCAGGCACCACCTCAGACGCTGCGGCCTTACAGGACGAGTAGGCGGATGTCAGCGTGGCCATTTCTCACCTGTCTGTAACTTTTTAATACTTCCTTTTATTTTGGCTTTGCATTTCTTCCATGGAACGAACATCTCTGGGTAGCCACTGGGAGGTGTAAACGGCTTGGGATGGAAACCACAGCTTGTAGGTGCGCCCTCTGCCAGGCTTTTCTGGCACCCGAGGAAGCCCAGACTCTGCCTGTTCCCAAGCGAAAGGGATATTACCAGCTGCTCGGTGAGAAAACAAATTCACAGAGATACAGGAAAGCGTGTTAAGTTGGTGGGAAGCAACGGGCATGAGATTCCTGGCAGCTCGGGTATGTAAACATTTGTAAAATAGAGAGTGTGTGCATGTGTGTACTTTGTGGTAGCAGGAAACCCAAGAATTCAGCTCCATTATTTTTGCTGGAATTGGTAGCAATGGTGCCAGACAAATATTATATGCCCTTAATCCTCTTGACTTTACACCTGTGAATGACCTAAAGACCATCCAAGGTGATCTAAATTACAAGACATCTTTACTAATTAATAATTAGTATTTGGGGTTTGGGATCTGATTTGGTTTTTCATAAAGATGGGTTTCTGTTTCTCAGTAGCTCAGATGCTGGGCTACCTCTGGGGGAAGTGAGGGGAAGTGGAGACAGGAGGTGGAGGTAATCTGTGACCTCTTCTGAAAATGTCACATGGATGTGACTAGCCTGCCACAAATTTAGCACTGGTGGCACTGACAAGACACTACAGTGGAAAAAGCAGAGGTGTCCTTTTAGCAGACGCAGGGCAAGGAAATTGGCTGAAGTTAATGGATCTAAGTTATAATTTCCAGTGGAAATACTAATGCAATTAATATATTTCCACATAGCAGGACAGCAAGTCCATGCTAGTGTTTAGCTGTTCGTCATGATTGCTCAGGAGACTGGCCCAGCCACATCCTGGAATCTGTCCAGCTGCACCCAAACACGTGCAGCCTGTGTGAGGGGTGGGAGCAGGACTGAGGCACAAACCACTGTGCCAGTAGATTTGAGGGGCTGGAGGAAAAGAGCATCACCGGGACCGGCTGCTGCATGGTAGTGGAAAGCAAAGGTGGCTGAAGAGGAACATCTGCCCCTCTGACCCTGGCCTGGGTGTGGGGCTGTTACTGTACCCCAGCTCCCCAGTAGGGTACCCACCACCCTGCCTGGGGTCTGCACATCCTGTCTAGACACAGGGCACAGGGCTGCAAGGCCCAGCACACCCCTCACGCAGTGCTGCAGATCTCCCTGCTGCCCATTTGCTGCTGGCACCTACCTACCACCTCCTGCAGAGAAACCTCCCTCTTCTTAGGGGTTTACCTGTTCTCAGTGAAGTTACAAACCCTCTAGGGCAAGAAGCAAGTCTCTTCTGATCTCCTCCCTGAACATGCTGCAACTGCATGAAGCTAGAGAAGGGATTTTCAATCCTGCCAGTGTGGTAATGGGAGCTGAGAAAGTGCCCAGCCAGCTACAGCAAGATGAGGTAGGGAGCAAGATGTGTTTCTCATCACTGGTGGAGCAGATCCGCGAAGCAGCTGTTGTGGAGAGTGGTGTGCTATCCCACTACAGGTCCCCAAAGCAGCACCCCATCCCCCTCCCTGCAGAGAGTCCACACAAATGGGACAACCTGCACAGCCTGGTGCCAGCACCCCCTTTTTCTCCAAGTCTCAGCTGAGCACGTAGGGGTCCTGGGGTCCCCAGCATCCCTGGTGGGCCCAACCTCAGGAGCTGATTATGGTGTACAGCAAGGGCATATCTTCAAATAGGTGCCCTTAGCCTGGCCTAATCTGTACGTCTGCTGCAGCAGAGAAAAATCAAATATCTCTCACCTAAATAAATTGTTGTTCAGGTTAAGGGAAGTACCAGAAGCTTTAAAGAAGCTGTTGGCAGTTTCCAGAAAAAAAGGAGCAAGTGACACCTGCTGCACATCAAAACAGCTATTGCCCGTGTATCAACAGGGTAGTTATGCATGTAACAAATGATCAGGGACGTGGAAAGCACAGGTCTCAGAAACCAGGACAAATTCCACATTTTTTTCAAATCCTGCTTCCACAGTCCCAAGCCCATGCACAGCAGGGCAATAATGCAGCACAGTGATTTCTGTTGGCCTCTGCCTATTTCCAGCCAGAGCAGCCCTGGCTGCTGATTTATTCAGCAGACATCAACCAGTGGAATGTTTCCATGATTTTTTCGTCAAAAAAATGTGCTAGGACTAAGTGCTTTCACCATTTGTTTGTTTGTTTGTTTTTTAAATGAGGAAGTCTTAAACTACTCAGGATCCTCTCTGGTCATGACATTTATCTGACATGAACTGCTGGTGTCAGAAGGTGCTGCTTGCAGTGCTGGTGGCTGCTTAACTTCCAACAGGCTTAGTTGTAACTCTCTGAAAAATACCATTTTGGCCCTTCATGGTGGAACTCGTCATAACCTTGTTTCCAAACACATGGGTTGCAATCCACACATCTTACAGCTCCATGAGATATTTGCATTAGGGAGGCAGCTTGCTTTCCCACCTATCCTGTTCCATCAAAACATATCTTTAGCACCAGGGAGCCAAGGTCATCTCCTTTTCTTTTTTTATGTTCCTCCTGCCTGCTCTGAATACATTATAGTACAGTCTTCAGCTCCACTATTTTATCTTTTCCCACAAGACCATTGCCTCATTCAGTCCTCAGCAGGGAACATGCTTTCATCTCTGCCAGCTGCACATGGTTGGAGCACCCCATGCCTGCAGAAGATCCGTGGGGAGAACATGGAGGTGAGGCTTTGCAGATTCCCATGCACAGAGGATGGAGGAGTTTGGTTAGGTCCAAATCCGGTAGGAAATTTCCAGGGAGCCTCTCCCACTGCCTCCTTTGTCAAGCCAGTAATGAAGAATGTCTGTGAGGATGGGATTCCTCTCATCTGATTTTAGGTGCCTAAAAGCTAGGTATCTAAACCTAATTAGTTGGACAGGCTTCCTGAATAGTCAATGGAGACAAATAGGCACCTCTAGTGTATGATTCATCTCACATATCTTGAAGTTTATCTTGAGAAGGGCTGACTCACCCGACAGCCAAGCACTGCTTCTCTTCCGTGACTGTAAAGGCAGGTCGGCAACATGTTGAGGACTTGACAAGTACATTTTGGATGTCCCAAGTTGGGTAAGGTGAGTCCTACTCCCAGCTGCGGCCGTGTCTGTTGAAAGAATCATCATTATGCTCTAGCTTGCCCCCTTCCCCCCTTGTGTCCCACAGAGGGTCCATTTCCAGCCCTGCCCAAGCAGGGCTGGGTTTTAGTCTGTCCAAATCATATTATCAGTCTTTATCACATTATCAGACCAAGTTAAATATTTATAAAGCACCTAGGGGCAGGGTCCAAGTCTTTCTTTTGTTTGCATATTCCCTTGAAGAGTGAAGCCCCTGTACTGGTTGCAACCCTTTGCAAACTGGTGCAATATAGCACCATGAGTCGCTGTGCTAATCTGTAGGTCTTGACAAAATGCAGCCAGGAATGCAGAAAGAGCTCATGGACATTGGGAAATAGGCAGGAGTGAATCATAAGAGTCAGGAGAAGCAACTAATGTGTGGGAAAAAGGCAAATGTGCTACCTCGGCATAAACATATAATAAGGAAGTATGTAATAATAATTATTGTTATTGTAATACAGCCTGGGTGAGCATTTGGAAAAAAGATATCTAATAACTGACAAGCGACATGGCTCGGTTTGTTTTGATCTGAAATTCAAACAATGGTTGTGTTTATAAGGCAATAATACGCAGGGCACAGAGCACTGGCACCACACCAACTATGCACTCCTCAAGTTGGGTTTATATAGGTCATGCCAAACAAATAATAGTGTTCTTCAATATAATTACTGATTCATTACAGAAAGAGAATGTAATCGAGTCTGTTTGGATTTCAGGGAGGCGTTAGATACGGTAAATTCATACATTTGAACTTTTATTGGGAAAGCTTTGTGTGATCGCCTAACTTTGCTCCTGGGGGAATCAGCGATAAAATTCCCACTGCTGCCTGCCCTGGCAGCCTGGGATCCTCCCTGCAGGCTTCAGCAGTTGCTCATGCTCCTGCTGGCCTTTGCAGACTCTTTCAGTGCCCTTTGAAGCTCTTCACAGGTAAATTGGGAAACTAAACTACTGCTAGACTGAGACCCAGATCCAAATGTGCTGGACATGGCACTTATCTCAGGCAATTGCACCCACCCCTTGATCCTGGGCTCACCACAGCCCCTCCACTTCTGAACCTCCTGGTATATGGCTGACTTCTGGATGTGTCTCTTGAGATGCATTATTTCACTGTTTATTTCAGGGGAAAGCAGCAAAAGACAAAGGACAGGATGACCTGGCGATGCCCACCAGCTCCCTGGATGAGAACACCCTATTTTAAGTGGCACGCTTGGCCACAGGAGAGTTAAACTGGGTTGTCCTCATCCTGGGAAGATGTCTGTGGGGTTGGGCAGTGGTTGGGCCATGCTGCATGATGAGGGGGTACTACCAGCACTCATCATCAAAGGAGAAGGGCCAGGCTCAGCTGATGGTGAGGGATGATCAGGGATGCTGCTCTGGAGGCTTTTGGATGGCTTTGCCACATGGCATTCCCTGGGGCATGGTGAACTGGCATTTTGGCTGCAGCACTCTGCTTTCCCCAGGAAGACCTGGGCAGCTCTGCACCAGTCCAAGGTGTTTCCTGCTGACCTCTGCTCTGTATGGACCCTGTACAGCACACAGGGATGGATGATGGTGCCCAGAGTAGCATCCTAACACCCAGCTGCTGGGACCAGTGATGGGGTATTGCTCTGCGTGATGCCTGGACTCAAGGGTTTATCCAAGAAAACACAAGGCATTGTGACACAGTCTTGGAGTCAGCATGTGTCATGTTCATGACCAGCCCTGCTGCTGCTCCCCACAGTGCGAAGGGCAGAACCCCAGTGTCCTTCTTCCTGCTCTGCCCCAGGGAGCAGCTGCCTTTTAAAAAAAGGCAAGATAGGGCATAGCATGAGGCTTCCAGAAAAATAGGGACCATGCCAGTTGCGTTGGTGGACCAGCACCCAGCGGAGGGAACACTGGTAGAGCACTAGACCCACTAGTCAGTTGACTTCTGTGAGTCCTGAAGAAGTTCATCAGGAACAAGTAGCACCATAGTAATATATGCTTTCAAAAGGTTTTTTGATAAATGTGGATAGAGCCTTTCTTAATCTTCGTTCGCGAAGCCTAGCCATGATGATGATGATAATGGCCTTTCGAAGAATGAAACAAACTTGGCAGCCATGGGATGAAAAGTCCTGTCGTGGATTGAACATTGAGTCAGAGCTAATAGGCAGGAGGAAAAATCCATTAAAAGTAAAAGGCCAGTGTTCCAAACAGGGAAGAAAAGCTTACAGGGGTTGGAGGAGGTGGTGGGGCCATGCCTGTCAGAGATGAAAGCGGCCCTCTGAATACCATTCCAAAAATCAGTAAAGGGAGAAGAGGGATAACAAGGCAACAGCATTTGCTGCCAACAGAGAACCATGTATTATAATTGCAACCAAGACTTGGCAGGACTGGAAGGGACTCCAGAAGATTCTAACTAAACTTGGAAGCCAAACCACCATGACAGAGAAAGTTCAGCACACACAGATGCCAAAGCAAGCTGTTTTGGAAGAAATCGGGCAAGCCTCTTGCTCTGAATTAGAAGTTGGCTTGTGGGGTTCAGCAGTGGACACGGGCAAGGACTGTTCAAGCATTGCATGTAAAAGACCTGCTCTGGGGGTCAGCATGAAAAACATGTCATCGTATAACCTGGGCACACATCACAGTCCATGTCCGCTTGCCCGCTGTGAAGCAGGACCTAAAGAAACACTGTAAGATGGACCGTACTGAGTCAAGAACAAAAGTCCGCTAAAGGCAGCATAGAAGAATAGAAACAGGATCAAAGGCAGAGCTGAATGGGGGACTTTTTCCATGAAGGGAGGTTGAGGAGTATAATATTTCATTTGCACTAGGGTTGCAGAGGTCTACAAAACAATAGTTCCCTTAAGTAACAACTGGCTGATGCTTTCAGTTTATTTGTACTTTGCAAGTTGAAAAAAAAGATGTAAAGGTGCTTTTAAAAACAGTTGCAAGGGAAGTTACTGCTTTGCCACTGGGCTGCCTCTCAGTACTGTTCCCTGCTGGGTGAGATCTACTGACAAGCTCATACCTGGCCTGAACTCAATTGCCTCTGCGTGCCAAACCACCCATAGCAGTGTACTCGTTCAGGCTGGGTTTGCTGACACCCACTTTTGCATAGGCTGGATTCAACTGCCTTGTGGGCAATGTCCAGCCCTGGGCAGCAGCTGGCGAAGCACAGCCTGTACACTGAAAGCCTGCTTACATCAGTGTCTCGCTGTCATGGAGTGGGGACCACATTCCAGGGACAAACATGGTCCCTTGCAGGGTGTGGTGACACCAAGACCCATGCAATAAGAAACAGGAGGAGGTTGTGTGTGTAAATAATTTACTAGTAGACTTAAATGCTATCAGGCCTTTGTTTATTTTTATGAAGTCAGTAAAGAACCACACTGATTCTGAGACTGGAGTTTGGTGACCAGAGGCTGAGAGGTGACATAAAGCAAAGGCATCCATCCTCTCTGTGTGGGAAGGCAGCCAGGGTAGGAGGGGACAGATGCCTTCTGAGTTTCCAATTTTTCCTGCATACACAAACCTTTGTGGAGAAACTAGAAAGGGAGAAGTGCAATGCATATACAGGTGACTGCCTCAGAAAGGTAGGAGCTTTGCCACATGCTCTGTGGATGACCAGGGAGGGGAAATCGTTTGCTGAATGATGCCTGTCACTATTTCAGTCAGTATTTCTGGGTGCTCCCAGCCACCAGTGCTGTGCTGGGAGCCTGGGTTCATGGAAAGGTAGGGTTTTGGCTGAGAAACAAAAGCAAAGCCTGGACCTACTGTCATCAAAGAAGAGCTAATCATGCTCCTCGCAGGAGCAGACACACTGAGGCTGGTGTCTGGGCTGCTGTATAGTACAGCTAGTGAGTGCCGATGGGATGACATGATGCCCTGTTCCACAGCACAGTTACCTCAATGTTGCCAAACCCAGGCAACCTTGGGAATCAATAGCAGGATGCTTCCTCCTTAGAAATCATTTGATTTCTGTAAGGAGATAAAAGGTCTTGGAGACACATAGACATCGATTGTGGGCTACTGGGGAGGAAGAGGAAGGCTACTTCTCCTACTTTACTGCTCTTTTTGTTCTATAAAACAAAACTGCTCCATACAAACTGCTCCTACTTTACTGCTCCATACATCATGTGGTTGTAAGAGAATCTAATTTTTCAGTTAAGAAAAGCATTCTGTTCCTGCTACCTAGTGTAGACAAAAACATGAAATCTCTGGAGTGTGAGTCAAAGACTAGAGTCAAAAGCAAACATACAGAATTCAACATTATTTGTTTTATTTTATTTTTTTTTTATGTTCTTTAGGTGACTGACATTATTTTGGAACCTGATTCTCGAACATCTGGGATTAGCTCTCCTGGAAATGTGAGGACGTGGGCCCTCTAGTGCCACTTGGAAAATGCCGGTATTCCAGCCCACAGTTCTGCAAGGGAGGTGTTATTTGGCAAGTAACTAGAGCTTAATCAGAAGTTTGGGACCACCTTCAAGTGGTCAAGGAGAAAAACAGATCAAATTTTCTTTTTCAGGTCTCCTGCATGTGGCTGGTCCAGCAACAGGAACTCTTCCCCATCAGTGGTTGCTTGATGTCCTGTGTGAAATGAGAGTTCAGCCAATGGTATAGGCACTTCTTAGTGGACAAGTATCTACGCATGTAATTCTGCAGTAACTGGTGTCTCCATGTCTGCCATTCTCCCTTGCCAGCCCAGCAGAGATAACTGAAGTTACCTGGAAATAAATTTCTCCATCAAGTGTCCTTCTAGCTGAGGCTTTGCTGCAATAACAGCACATGCACAACTTGTGCTGCTTAGTTTATCTTTGAATGGATAATTGCTATCTCCAGGCCTACAGAGTATGCATTGTTAGATATATTAAAATAATTTTAAAAAAGTCTTCTAACTCCAAAGTTCACAGCCTTTCAGTTTATGTATATCCAGCTGGGAAATCATGCCCACTAATTTTTACTGAAGTTTCCAGTTGATTGACCCACCAGTACAATGCCAGGATGCTGGGTAGACTTGTGCAGCTCCTCCGAAGTTCAGGTGCGTTCAAGATGCACGGCTCAAGGATGACCAGTCTGTTACCTCTAATATCATTGATGGATAAAACCCCTACAGATTCAAGCTGTAGTGGATATGACAGTGTCTGTTGCAAGTGGAGCTGTTTCAAAATGCAAACCAGAATTTCTAAGTGTCACTGAAATGCTGAAGATCCATTGAGGAGCAGGTGTGGGGTGGTGGATGGTAAAGGCTTTTTTAGTGAAACTGTTCAAAAGAGCAAGTCTACTGATGAAGGGAGGGTCCTATGGTCACCTCCAACAGTATAAGCAGAATGAAAACCAGCAGCAGCAGCAAAATCCAGTAATGCACCAAAAGATAAGTGTTCAGCCTAAATCAGGCCAACAAAAATATCTGTGCTGGTGAATTAATATGCCAGTCCACACCATATTTCCTGAAGCAGTTGAACCCTTAGCCATGAAACTCATCCCAGGAAGAAGGGCTGTTGTAATGACAATGCTATAGAGGGGGGTAGATCTGCCTCCTAGATGAGCTGTTTACTGTTATGACAAGCTTGCATTTGTGAAGTGCATACTTTTCACAGAATCACAGAATCATTAAGGTTGGAAAAGATCTTCAAGATTATTGAGTCCGACCTTTGAGCAAACACCACCAACTAAATCACAGCATTAAGTGCCAGATCCAGTCATTTATCGAATGCTTCCAGGGATGCTGACTGCAGCACCTCCCTAGGCAGCCTGTTCCAATGCTTTACAACCCTTTCAGTGAAGAAATTCTTCCTGATGTTCAGCCTGAAACTCCCCTTGAGCTTGAGGCCGTTTCCTCTCCTCCTGTCACTAGTTGCCTGGGAGAAGTGGTTGACCCCCACCTTGCTACAACCTCCTTTCAGGTAGTTGTAGAGAGAAGTAATATCTCCCCTGAACTTCCTTTTCTCCAGGCTAAACACTGCCAGCTTCCTCAGCCACTCCTCATCTGACTTACTCTCTAGACCCTTCACCAGCTCTGTTGCCCTTCCATGGATCTGCTCCATCACCTCAACACTCTTTTTGCAGTGAGGGGCCCAGAACTGGACACAGTACTCGAAGTGCAGCCTCACCAGTGCCGAGTACAGGGGAACAATCACTGCCCTGGTCTGGCTGGCCACACAATTGCTGATACAGGCCAGAATGTCACTGGCCTTCTTGGCCACCTGAGCACACTGCTGGATCATGTTCAGCCACTGTTGATCAGCACCCTCACATTCTTTTCTGCTGGGCAGCTTTAAAGCCACTCTTTCCCAAGCCTGTAGTGCTGCATGGGGTTATTTGACCAAAGTGCAGGACCCAGCACTTCACCTTATTGAGCCTCATACCACTGGCCTTGGCCTATCAATCCAGCCTCTCCATATCCCTCTGCAGATGCCTCTGCAGATGCTCTCTGTAGTATCAGAAAAAGTAAAAAATAAGTGTTTCAGTGTATGTATGCACTGGTGAGAGTGCATGTATTAGACTAAGAAGAGTGTGCATATTTGCATGTGTGTATGTTTGTGCTGGGTTAAGGACTCGTGTACATGCATGAGAATAAGTGCTAGTGAACATATGAACAAGTTACTGAGTGGCCATCATGCATCTGCATGTGAGCACCTGAAACTGCAGAAGAAAAAGGGTAGGTAGGGCTGTGTGAGTGCTCATTCACTGCAAGTGCTCACTGAGTGGTTTTTGCCAGCCGTGGGAAGTGTGGGTCTGTACCAGTGGGAGGGCAGAAGAGCAGCAATGTGGGCACAGGCACCGGGGTGCATGGGAAGGAAGGCGAGTGCCCGTGCAGGACAGCGCTCAGGGCACTGCAGTGCCAGAGGGGAGATGCAGGAAGGCTTTTTCCCAACTGTTTCTGCAACATGGTTTGACTCAGCAAAGCATTAACATGGTAAAGAAAAGTCTAGAAGGGCTCCTGCCAGCTACAAATAGAGCGATCAGCATATACAGGATGTGGTAAGAGCTAAACGCATCCCGTTATTAACTTCACTTTTATTTCTAGGGGATTCACTTCTCTGTTCTGTTTACTATTTGGGAAGTGAAATCTAAGATCATGTTGCCATTAAAAAAAAATACCTGTCACAGCTCATTTGTTTTTCTACTTCATTATTTTCCTTTTAAAAGTTACTTTGCTTTTTCTTGAATGGAATTTATTGAAATTGCTGGTAACATATGAAGTCTTCACTGTGTTTCTCTCCTGAGAAATTATCTAATTTGCTCTCATTGGAAACTGTTGACTCTGAGGGGAGTGTTTACACCTCACAATGTGCTCACAGTATGGTGCAACTCGGAGCAAAGGAAACAACACGGGTTCCTCCTCAGCACAGCCAGAGCTTGTACACTGCTCACAAGGTGCTTTGTAAACATTTATTCATTCTTGTACACACGCTCCCTTCCCTCCCCCATCAGGTGAGGAAGTATTATTGTCACAATTTCACAGATGGAAGAAGTGAATGCACATAGGTTTGGTGACTCACCCGCAACCACTGAGGCTGATTTAGAGCTGAGGTGTTAAGCTCCCAGCCACCTAATTTAACCCGGCAGGTCACGTTCCCACCCAGGGCTGACAATATAGGTAGTGCCAGCTCCATCTACCTGCCACCCACTTGTCCTGTGAAGCAGTAACACTCATCTCCACGTTTGCAGAATGAGATCAGATTGCTGTAGCTTACTCCATGTGATGGTGTCATCAGAGCGCAATATATCATTATGATATCATGATGTTATTATGCCTGAAACTAACGCAAGGCCATGCACAGAACAGAGGTAGGCAGTTGAAAACCAGCGGCCATGTACTGCTCAACCACATCACACACACACACTGTTACCAGGGTGTTGGTTCATTCCACCATACTGCAAGGATCTGCAAACAATCTACATGCTGGGCAGGATCTCCCCACCTTCACTGTTGGGGTTTGGGTTAATTTCTGCCCTATACAGTCCTGGTGAAAATGTCTGAGGTAGGAAAGATGGTTCTGTGAGGAGGTGGAAGGAAAATGGTTGCCTCTCAAGTGGAAATGGCTCTAAAAGCACATGGTCAGAAGTTAAAGATCATGGTCTCAGTTCTCCAGTGGGGCTAGTTGTTTTTAAGTGCTGAGCACTTACGGGAAACTAAGCCTTCTAAGTGTGGTCCTGTACAAGCACACAAAAAACCCCAGAACAGAACCTTCAGTGCCACATCACGACTGAACATCCAGGGCCACATGTTGCCATTGTTTGATTCTGCTTTGCTATTTAAAATCCTCACTTATGTTGTTATTCACTCCCACACAGAATCAAGAAAAACAACAACAATAAAAAAACCCGCTCCTTATCATCTTCATTTACTTTTCACACTGTTTACATGGGGAATGATCTCACTCATGCCTAGCTCATCCCAGACTACTCAGATTAGTCAGTTCCGCTTTCTGAGACCGGCTCATTTGGCTGACTGGGGCTCAGACCCTGCAGGATGCTGCTGCACCCAGTGTCACACTACGGAAGGGGAGGTCAGCTTTCCCTGCATGAACCTTAACTTTCATTTTTAAATAAAACACATCGTATTTTCATCTTTGGAATATAATCTTTGTAACAGGCCGTTCCAATGAGTCTAGTGTTTCTTTTTGCCACGTGCAAAATTTGTTTCCATTGCCACGACAAAGTTTGCAGAAGGATCCATCTTGATTTCTGTGGGCTTTGGACCTGCCTCACAGGGTCTGGTACTGGATCTGTTGAGAACAATGCCAAAATGCCCACTAATTTCAAGGTGTGAGAAATTAAGGGTCTCAAAAGTACTTGGGAGGGGGAAGGGAATGCATTTGAATACCAGGATTGTTCAGAGGCCTCCCTAAATCTCTTCCTACCATGGTGTGTGGTTTTGGGGTGCATTGGGACTTTACAGTTGTAGAGAAACGGGTGAATCTTGAGCATCTAGAAGGAAGATGGATTGTTCTTCTTCCTCTGACCCTCCTTTAGGAACTAAGTGCCACCCAGACTGTGCCAGAGACATGGGTCGTAGAGAGTAAGGACAACACCCTTCTGGGTTGTTGGCTCTGAAGTTGAGGTTTCCTTCTTTTCCTGACTGAGGGTTAAATGTGAGTTTTCCTCCAAAATCAGGGCAGCCAGTGCTCTGACCAGTGGCAGGAGAGCATAGGCGGGCATGTAGAGGAGCCTCAAGTCAGCACCTTTGTCCACAGAAACAGAAGGCCCACTGTTGTTGAACTGGCAGAGAGTTAATCTCTTAGTTAAAATATTACTGGACTCTACCTGCTCTTATCCTTCCACAGTGCAAGGGGCAAAGGGCTCAGTAGGTCAGCTGGCTAGTACCTCAGAGCAACTGCAGGGACCCGGTCAAGACCAAGAGTTTGACCTGTGCCTCCTTGGTTAGATCCTTTTCCACAGTTCATGTAATTCTTTTATAGCCCTTGTTCACGCTTCGGTATGTTTCATGCTAAACAGAACAAAGGAAGAACTCTGGAGAGAAGAAAGCCAAGGCTAAAACTAGGTACGGTCAGCACGTCAGTTGTCCTACAGTAACACTGAGTGCACAGGAT